CTTGAACTGTTTATTTTTAAGAATTAAAAAAATTTATATTAAAATAACAGATGTCAAGGAGAACAAAAATCTTTAACATATAATAAAATCAAAATATTTAGTATAATATATAAACCTTTTAACCTCTACCCTTTTAACTTTTTGACATAATGAGATAAAAGAATCATTATTGGTAGACAAAACTTTCTTCTTTTTCTTTAGCTTTTTGACTTAAATGACAAAAGATTATGAGAAGAATTTTAGTACCGTTTAAGGCTTTCATTGAGTGCACTCTTATTTGTGGTATTATTGCCTTTCTTTTTGTTAATAGTAGAACCAGAATTCTCTATAGTTGGAATTAAAATGTTTTCTCCTCCCTTTTGTACCTGCATTTAATAGCGTAATGAGAAAAAATGAATTTTGAATCTAACTCAATCTCAAATATTACAAGTATAAAGTGAGAGTGACATTAATCTAACACATGTATTAAAGTCGGATTTCGACAAGAAAACAGAGTTTAAGGCTAACTTTAACTTTGAAATAGAGTTACTATTAACATTTACTAGAGGTTCTATTCAAAGCTTATAACACTTTTCGTTCTGACCTTCTAGCATCGAGCAAGTATCGGACTCTATACATTGTGTTACCACTTAGTAAAGTCGTATGTTTTTAATAAATAGTGGCTAACCCTTTCTGCTCTCCTATGAAGCAACTTCCAAAATCATTCTTGATGGAGAACAAACTAAACAAAGATAGATCTAGCTTGTAGGCTATGGATTGACGAGATATATATATTAAGAAATTCATCAAACATCTATAAATATAGACGGTCTACTCAATTATTACTGTATTATTAGCTTGAAGACGCTGTAAGAACTCATAAACTTTACATTTTGGTTCAGCCTATGACATATTTGATCCAAAAGGTCCCTAAGCATAATACTTCGATTTGGGTACTTAAAAGATCCTTGGAGTAAAAAAACACCCCACAGAAAATGATGGTAGGAAGGCAAGTATGTCTATATATATGAGAATGTCTAACAAACAATTCTTCAAAGACCATATAAAGACACAACCACGGATTCCTCGCCCATAGACACATCTTAACAAATAAAAGACAACGCAACAACAACAAATTCAATGTAATATATCACAAGACTATAAGAAAAGTGTGAATTACATGGGGATTTTTCTGGGGATTAGTATGAAAATCTGTAGGAAACTTATTTTCCTGCAAATTTTCATATTAATCCCCAGGAAAATCCCCATGTAATTCACAATTTTCTTATAGTGTGCAAGTGGGGTTTGTGGAGAGATTGGTAGAGTGTACTCAGACCTTACCCCATCTTTAAGAAGGTGGAGAGGTTATTTCCGGTAGACCCTCAGCTCAAAGGAAGATGTAAGTGAAAGCAGAACCAACAACAAAATAGTATAATAATCGAGGCTAAACAAACAACAAATAGTAATAAAAATCTAAGAATACAAAACTAAGAAGGTTATAAATAGATACACAAACCTGATTAGTATAAGCATTGCTACATTTGAAAATCCCTTTAACAATTTGACCTGTTCCTTCAGCAATTGCTTTAGCCAAAACATGATTATAATCTTCAATTCTTGGAGCAAATTCTTTCCAATCAATATCACTTTTCCTAATTAAAGATTTTGATGAACAAGTGAACATAGCATTTTTTTTAAGAAATTCATCTAAAACTCCAAGATTTCCACTACCCTTTTCTAAAAATGTCACACCATAACTTAAAGGATGCCCATTTTTAATAGGCAAAGTGAACAAATAATGTAAAGAATCAAGCTTTACTACTGGTTCATCTTTTGTAAGTGGCCATTGAAGTTCATCACCAACTTTTATGATTGTAGCTACACAAACATCTTCTTCAAATATGGAAAAAATTGTGAAAAATCCATTGGAAAGTTCTAGAGTTTCTCCTTCATCCATTAGATGAACTTTGCATGATGGAATGTTTAAAAGAACTTCATGTTTGATGTTCTTGATTTCTTGTGTTTGTATTTGTGATGGTGTTTTGGCTATAGGGAAACTTTTGGATTTCTTTGTCTTAAAGAAACTCATTTTCTTTCTTTGTTTGTAGCTTGGAAGAACTTTGAGATATAAAAAGGAATGGAAAAGGGGGGAAAATATTCTTCTAAATATTTTAATTTTGACAATTTTTATATTATCATATTAGTTGTCATGTTCTGTAGTCATAGCAGGTAATCTGTCTTATTTTCAAGATTACAAATCTCATATTTTAAACTGGTTTATAGTGTACCTATAAATATCAATTTAAATCGTATGAAAAATTATTTACATCGACGATATACCTAACTTAAACTCATTTTAAATTTCACTTAAGTTATACTTTAGGTGTACTTATCGTTAGCAAATCGTCACGTACTTGTATCCTTAACCCTTATGGAGCTTCAATGAAGTATAATATATGATAATTTTAAAGCATAACTAAAAGTAAACTTATAAATTTTAAATACTTTCAAAAGTATTTTGACACGTGAAATTTATCTGATTTATTTTAAAATTTTATTAAAGTCGAGAATAAATATGGGAAGACTTTTTTTTCTTTCGAAAAGAAGGATGATGGATTTAAAGGGAATATAAAGATGCAAAGGAGATGGCTAATAGAGAAAGTTTAGTACTTTAATTGATTCTACATATTGTTTTTATTGGTACTTATTCTATTCTTCAAAGAGAAGTTGTTATTTAGGTATCATTACTTATGGTGGCTAAAAATTCAAATCTTAATAAACAAGGTTGAAGGCTATGCAAATGAGCACTAAGAATTATGTAACAATCACATTTATTTATTATTATTAATTATTTCGTGTTTGATATCTACTGACTCAACTAATTTAAATTCGCGTTATATAAAGCTTATTAAGCTATAATTTATTCCATTACATTTCTTTGTCCGGAGTGAAATAACATAATTTTAATATTCTTGTTGAAAAAAACGATTGAGAATCACATTAGGATTACGAGATTGGAGTTGAAAATTTTACGTCTGAAAGTTCAACTTTCAGACATATGAGAGTCGATATTTGGCATATTATTTGCTTAAGCAAATTTCAGACATTTTTATATGGAGTTTGATTTGACAATCTCAAGCTTTAGACATTTTCTTATGAAATCTAACTACATATGCTAATACTTAAAACTCTTCAATTTGCTCGCGGTACCTTCATTTTATTTCTTTTACAACCAAAATTAAATATTGATAAAACATTAAGTATTGGTCTATTAGAACCAAAATTAAATATTGCTTACGCAAAATGTTTGACTAGTTTTTAAGGGGGGAAATATTTTTACACTCTGTTTGGATCATTGTTACCCAATGTATTGTATTGTATCGTTACTATACCTACAATGTTTGTTTTGATTGTTACTTAAAATATATTGTATTGTATTATTAAATTTCGTTGTTACGCAACAATGAAAACCCCTATTTTATGGAACAACCGATTTGGTGTGTTCCCATTGTTACTTAATATCTTTTTTCAATTATATCTTTACATAATATTTCAAAATACTATTTTACCCTTTACCTTATATTATTTAATTCT